CTGTGCGGTAAGTCGGGCGGGAGGCTTTGAAAAGCGGCCCGAGACTGGTAATCCCCGTGCCGCTTCCCGGCAGCTTCCTTTGCCGTGCTCGGGAGGGAGGCGCGATTGCCGGCTGTGGGTTGGGACAGCGTTTACTCCGCAGGTGCTGCTTATTTGGGGGCTTCCTCTGGGACGTGTTGTCCCACGGCTGCCCTGGAAACCTCACTCCGCTGAGAACTCATCTCTCTTAATTTCGTTCTTTTTTCTCGTTGATAGCGATTTCTCTGCGTCAAAATTTCACCGGGGTGAAAGTGCATCAGTTGTGATTGGTAAGTTTCTGTTAATGAGAGCTATGTCTAATAATAGCTGTTGTTTACATCTGAAAGGAGGGTGTAGTGAGGTGGGGCCCAGCTCTTCTACCGTGCCTGCAGTGAAAGGGCAGGAGGAAATGGCCTTAAACTGAGACGGGGAGATGCTGATTAGGTATTAGAAAAAGAAAATTCACTGTAAGGATGGCCATGCACTGGAATAGGTTGGCCAGGCAAGTAATGGAGTCTCCAGCCTTGGGCGTGTTTAGGAGGATCTGGCAGTGGTTGATGTGGTTTAGGGGGTTACAAGGGCAGTGCGGGGTTGGCTTTGGACTTGATGATTTTAAAGATCTCTTCCATCCTCAGTGATTCTGGGATTCTTACTAAACCTGTATTTGTGTGCTAACTGTACTAGAGATTTGCTAGGGCAGACAGAACATGGATTTGGATGTCACAGAGCAGAATGTTCATAGCCTGAATCCAGGGCTTTTCCTCACTGTACTTAGTGATTGCAAATACACCCACTCTGCACCCTAGCAATTAAAGGACACTGGTCTTGAGATGGGAAAGAGGGTGGCAGAGGCAGTGTGAGATGGCAGAGCCATTGTGGCGCCATATCTGATGTAGTCAGCCATGCTTCTCAAATCTTGATTGAACTGAGATAAGAGCTGTGAGAGTACTGCTGTCTCACTTCTGGACATTGCTGGGACTAATGTGTGAATCCTGTACTGCTCTCTACTGCTTAAAAATCTTCCTGCGCAGCAAAGACGAGACTTCTGGAGTAAGCAACTGGGGAATAGAGTATAGCTTTTCAGACACTGCTGTGGACACTCTCCTACCTCCCAGCACAGAGTCAGAGAGCAGCTCTTCACTTGTGCAAGTTAAAGGCTACTTGGGAAATGGTGACAATAGTGAGGGACAAGGTCTGTGTGTACCAGTGATGCTGTCCCCATTGACACTGCAGTCTTCCCTCTATCTGTTTCCTGCTGGGACTAGGGAGCAAAATTACAGAATCACAGAATATGCTGAGTTTGAAGGGACTCTCAAGGATCATGATGTCCAGCTCCTGGCCCTGCACAGGACCACTGCCATCTGTATCAGACATAAGGCCTACAGAGAAGACCTTCCACTTAAGGTCAAAATTCTGGCTCCCAGTAGCTGGGGGAATGGAGAATGATAGCCTACCTTGCTTTTCCCAGTGAGAACTGACTGTATAAGTTTTTCTAAACAGACAGGTGCAGTGGAACTCCTTACCGGTTTTTTAATCACATTGTAATAGAGGGAAGAGTAAGGAGCACAGAGAACAAAATTCAGTCACAGTGAAAACAAGTAATATATTAGTATTAATAAATACATTACTTGTATTAAGTTAATATTAAAAACACTGATACTCTCAGGCTTTTGATCTGTTCCTGAGGTTTTTTTCAATTATGCATCATTTAGTGAAAGAGTTGGTGCAGTTCTCCTTACACAATTTTACATTGGGTGTGCAACAATGACAGACACCACCAGAATGTGCAGGCTCTCAAAGAAAGAAGCAGCTGAAAAAGTTAGACTGCAGAAAAGTAAGAATTGAACTAAGAAACTAAGAATATAAGATTATTTTTTACTCCATAGTTTAGAAATAACCAGATGATGGTGTCTGATCTACTGTCAGCTCATTGTCATAAACTGTGTAAGAGAATAGAAGTTACCAGATGGTCTGAGTCACAGTGCAGAAACATATTTTTGTTTTTAGGTAAGTTTGAAAGCAGAAGAGGAATTTTGCATGGTGTAAGACTCACGATGAGTTTGCTGTAAAATGACAAGGATGATACCTACAGAGAACTGCACCGTGATAGTGATGGGTTGTGGGTCCAGGGGGTGATGGAGCAAGTCTGTCACTGCCCACTGCATTTCCCAGAAACTACAGCAGGACACAATGCTGATTGGAAGTTTGGGTTTACATTAATGTTGTCTTTCTTTGTCTGTGCTTGGGGTTGGGGAGTTGCTTCTTTCAGAGAAAAAAAATGGATTGCATGTTCTTCTTTGTCTCTGCTTATCAGTTGCTGATAACTGTGCTTCAGTTACTGATAATGATGCCTCTGACATATTAGTAAGCTGCCCTTTATAAGCTCAATAATATCAGGTTTTTCCTAAGTTGGAAAAACCTGTCTCTTTGCAGCATATTATTGAATTCCTGTTTTGGCTGTGGTGTTTCACAAGTAACCAAGTGTCAAGAAACAGATTTTCTATGGAATTGCAGAGGACCACATTTGGCCCATGAAGCACAATGATGTATTTTAGCATCCTGTAAAAAAACTGACAGTAGAACCTCCATGACAGATGCTTTCTGGTTTTCAGTATTTTTCTACAGAACTAAAGAATAGAGAGAAAATGCATTATCAGTGTACTTTATTTCCCACTATTTCAGCACTGTCTAGGATTTACTGTGGTAGCATAGCCAGTGATGAATTAATAGTTTGTAATTTAAAACTAACATAATACTTTGTGCCATTCACATATATTTTCCAGTGTTCTTCTTGTGCAGTACTTTGCAGAGGAATGCAAGCTTCAAAGACTAAAAACAGAAGAAAAGCAGAACCATTCTACTGGCTGTCAGTGGCAAAGCCTAGGACCAGTTCTGAGATTGTAAATGAAGCCAGAGATGCTCTAAAAACAGTAAAAACTCCAAGACCATTCACACCTACAGATGAGCAAAGGAAACTTTCTGGGTCTCAATCCTCACGCTGTCCTCAAAATAGACGCCCTGTACTTTTTAGGTACTGTGGCTTTAAGATGTTTTCAAATATCCTTTAGCAGCAAGAGATTTGATTCTCTAATTATGCTTCCGGTGGTTATTTTCCCTGTGTTAATCTGTATTCCTAATCACATCCTTTGCCTTCTTCTAATGATCTTTACCGTTGGTGTTAATCTACATTCCAGGAAGTTTCTCTGGATTAGAGCTACCAGAGACAGTCACTACACTAGTTTTTTATGTGTAGAATAGCATAAGAAAATAGTCTGTTACTTACCTTTTCTTGAGACAATTGAATGCTTTTAATTGAGATAGTCTTCAGCTTTTTTCCTAGAACGTGTGAAAGCTTGCTTGTTTCCTATAACCTATGTGCTAGATTTTTTTTCAGAGCCTTCTGTGATCTTTTAAATGTGAAATTTTAGGTCCTGCAGTTTGAAATGCTCATTTTCAAACAAAGTTTTTACTACCTCAAAATTATTTCTAGGTGGAGTTTTGTTACCATGATGTGTTCTTGTCACTTTTCCTTTCTTCCCTTTCCCCATATTCACTGGCAAAGGGAAGAAGCATGCAATTAAAAAAAACAGCTGATCATACAACTCTGGATGTGCTTTATTCTAACTGTGTTTCATTTCTTCATTACTCTTGATACATCCAGTTCTGATTCATCTGAATCAAGATCAAATTCTGGTGTTCGTCTAAGTCCACTGACTCATGTAAGTACTCTGGAAATAACTCCTGCAGTACTGATATAAAATTATATGTCTTGGTAGTGTTAGCAAAACACATGGTTTAAAGACATTTGGGAAAAGTGGAGGCTTGTTGTAACATTAGTCTGAGACTTTTTAAGTCAGTTCTCCTCCAAAAGAAACTGGAAAATAATTTAAACTACTTACATATTGCCGTATTGCTTTATGATTCAAAGTGACATTAACTAGAATTGGAAGACTGATACTTGAGTCAGCTTTCTTTCAGTGTAAATTTACTAAAATAGGTGAAGTTCATGAGCATAAACATGTGCCAGCAGTGTGCCCTGGCTGTTGGGAAAGTGGCTGATGGTATCTGGGGCTGCATTAGGAGGAGTGTTGGCAGCAGGTTGAGGGAAATGATCCTTCCCCTCTACTCAGCACTGGTGAGGCCACACCTGGAGTGCTGTATGCAGTTCTGGGCTCCACAGTATGAGAAAGACATGGAGCAACTGGAGAGAATCTGATGGATGGCCCCAAAGGTGATGAAGGAGCAGGGAGAGATGAGAATGTTTAGCCTGGAGAAGACCAAGGGAGGACCTTATTCATGGATGTAAATATCTGAAAGGTGGGTGCAGAGAGGATGGGACCAGCCTCTTTGCAGTGACTGGACCAGAGGCAGAGGGCACAAACTGGGATGCAGGAGGTTTCCTCTGAACCTCAGGAAACAGTTTTCCTGCTGTGAAGTGACGAGGCCTTGGCATAGGTTGCCCAGAGATCTTCAAAAGCTTCTTGGGCATGGTCCTGGGCAACTGAGGTTAGGTGGCTGTAGTTGAATACAGGGCTTGGACCTCCAGAGGTCCTTTCCTCCCTCATCTATTCTGTGGTTCTGTGAACAGTAACTTGAAGGTAACTAGGTTGCTTTCTGTTTGACTTACATTTCTATAAATATTGTGATTGTAGTTTTATTTCTAAACAGATAGAGGTCCTTTAGGAACCACTTTTCTCCCTCTGGGAAAGCTGTGAATTGTTTTCAATTTATAAGTGTATCTGCTCTTTCACAGTTTTTTTATATTTGTTCTTTAAATATAAGATTAAGTCACGACTGTTTGTTTAGTACCAAAGATAACAGAGCATGATATAGCAATTAAATGTTCTTGCTGTATACATTGCTTTTTCCTGACAGGAACCTTTAGGAAATTCTTTAGGAAATTAGGGGAAATATCCAAGAAATTTTATACTTTAGTAATTTGGATAAGAGAATGTATTTACATGAATCAAGTTTAAAAAATTCTGAACATACTTCTGATTAGATTGAGTATATCTACATTTGGATTTAAGGACTGTTTGGATTTGACTGGTGTTAAATTTTCATGTATTTTGGCAAGTGGAAAAAAATTAGAGAAAACTACAGACCAATGCAAAACCTGCTTTTTTTTTTTTTTCTTTTTCAATGGGTATAAGTTAATACACTGTAAATTAAGAGTTCGTATTAATTATGGTGGCTGTAAGTAGTCAGTGTCACCTGCTGGCTCTTTAATACTATGGAGAGCTCTGAAGTATTGGCTGGAGACTTTTTAGTGGATTCTTTACTTTAAGGAAATTGGTATTGATATTAGAGGGCAGTACTTCATGTAGGTCAAGGGCACAACAAGTGCTTGATACTAGATATTCAGGGACTTGTTCACCTCCTCTAAGATGCAAGACACTGACATAAAACTAGGACTTTCATGTTTCTGGGTTTGCATGATTTGTCTCAGCGTGACAGAAAGTGGTACATATGATGTGAACATATTTGGAGTGCTTTGGAAATACTGTTTTAATGCTCAAAAGCAAATTAAAGAATAGATGTATCTCTAGAATTGTTAGCAGTAGTCATTGGCACAATATTTTCTTTGATAAATAAGCTTGCTGCAGATGTTGTTAAATGAGTACTTATGAGGACTAAATAATTCTGAGTTCTACTCAAGCTAGGTTTTGTTTTCTGCACCCCTGAATGTTGGCTTTCTGTGGTAATAATGGTATAGACATCTGGTTTGTTTGGTGGAATGATATCATTAGGTTCAGGATATGAAAATTTCTTAATGAGCACCTTTGTTGGAAGTTATGTAGATTTGTTTTTTTTTTTATTTTTTACTTAAATGAAAATTAAATTATCTGTGCTTTTGTTTAAAAGTCTTCTTTATTTTTGTCACAGAAACCAGTAGTAATAATTTCTGAAAAAAAAGATGAAGTTTCTTCTGTTTTCCATCCAACACCTCCTGCTGATACTGCAGAGCTTAGAAAAGTCAGCAAAGCTTGCAAAGGCTTATTTAGAGCAACTTCTCTGAAAGATTTATTTTCTGCTAAGGTGGTTCCTCTGGATCAGAGTAAGAATGTTTTGATACATACTATTTGCTATAAAGATTACTGCATGATGGGCTTTAATATTGGTAATTACATGAATTATTAGTACATTAAAGGACTTGTGTATCCTTTCAGTGTGAATTCTGGAAGTATTTAAATGGGTTTAAGGCAGTTTTGAAACTCTGCTTTCCCAAAATGATGCTGGCTTGCACTACTGAAAATGAGCTGAAAACTGCTCAGGTGCCTCTTCTTCCTATAGATTTCCAAGTAATGGAATCATACTGAAAGTTGTCATCAGTGAGTAAAATTAACCTTAAATGCTGACATGCTTGAAGAGATAATGAGATGCCATCATCTAAGGAGATTCCCTGATGGATTATTGAGCCTAAAAGGAGGAATAAAAAGAAGTGATATGTCTTGACAGGCCTCCAACTGCATCGTATTTGTTGTTATGAGTTTCATTAGTGCAGGTTTAATAAAGGTCACCAAATGTGGGATTTAAAAGTAATTTTCCTGAAGATGGGAAAAGGCATCTTGGCTTCCTGCATGTTGGCTTATAATGAAGTGTGCTGGGACTTTGTCTTTATTTCAGAAGATTGATTTATAATGACAGTTCTTACATTGTCCAGGATTGTTACTTTTTGTTATAAACTGAATATTTCACTTTTTACCTACTAAAGTTTACTTCATTTTTATGTATTTATTCTATAAATATACCTTTATATAATGTGTCACTTCATATAGTCTTAATAAGCTGATGTTACTAATTGAAGAAGTTGAGAAGCTGGTGTATTTGTAAACTGCCTTGGACTCTTCCCTTTTGGTATCATGCAAATGTTATGTGAGGGGTTTTATTTGTGGAGGTTCTTGTATGTACATAGAAGCTACAGGATTAACAGCTGTCGTTTTCCTGAGTTCCTTCATAATATTCAGGTCCTGAAATACAATCACTTTTTTTCACCAGGTGCAATCCACCTATTTGTAAAAGGGAAGTAATGGAGATGAAATATTATAACTTCAAACACAACCCCAAAAGACTTTAAGAAATACTGTTCATAAGAAGACACTGACTACCTTATTCTTAATAGTCTTAAGCTTTCTCAGCTTTTAAATTGATACAAGCAAATTTTGATAATGTAGCACGACAAGCAGCAATTAATAACACTTGAACAAAATGTGTTCTCTTTGACTGTTTCAGATGAAATGAAACTTGATTTTGAAGAGCCAACGATGATGATGAATAGTCTTGACAGAAGTAATAATAACTGCTTAGCAGAACAAAAGTCGTACACATCATTTAATGATGAGAGTAGACAATTAATTTGTAATGAACATACCAGCAGATCAGGAAGTGAAGTCTCCATGGAAGGGACACCAGGAAACTTTTCACTTCAGCTGCAAGGAGAAAGGTCAGCATTGGTCAAGTATGGTAATGTGTATCTTCCATACAGCCCTCTTCCAGGATACTCAATTGTGCAATATCAAAATGCTTAAAGTTAATGATATCTGATGATAACATTACATGTGCTTCAAAATGAAACTGTGTTTAGATTATTAGAAAAATTTACATTTCTTCTTTTAGGAAGTTTCTACATTCAAAAGACTATTTTGTAAAATGTTGGTGGTAGAAATTTATTTGATGTGATTGTTTGATCATTAACATTTCAAAACCAAGTCTTCTAGTCACTGTGTGTAAAATCCTCAAGTTTAAATTTAATGTGCTTGCTTTTGTAGTTTAGTCCTGTTGTTTTAAGGTGCTATGCCATCTTCACTTAGCTTGACAAATGAGTAGAGCCATGCTTTCAGTTCAGGTATGTGATCATACACCAAAACCAGGCTAAAACTCTTTAGCAATAGAAGCAGAATTTTTTTTGTGACTTTTAATTTTTAGGTTTTTTTTTTTTTTTTTGCATGCCCAAGTAGGTGTAAGAGATTAATGAGACTCACATGCCTGCAGTCTGTTTTTACTGGACCTGGAAGATCATATCCATTCTTTAATTCATAATCAACTAGTTTGTTTTTCTTTTGATTTAGATGTGAATTCTTGCACAGGGAGCAGTAGCCCTTTGGCACTGTGGGTAGTTGGTGTATCAGTTGCTGCATTAGCAGTCAGATGAACAACTGTTTTGTGCTAATAACATTGACAGATCTGGCAGTCTCAGCAACAAGGAATGAAAAACACTTTATTTTCAAAACACATCCTTGTAAAACTTGTTCACTATTAAAAAGACATATTTGCCAGTAGGTATCTTCTTTCTAGCATGTTTGTATGTTTAGGGAAAAGCTATTTCCCTGGATATTCTTAAGCACCTTTGATATTAAGACTCTGTTCTTAATTTTATAAAATGAAAGGCTTTTCATTTACTAACTTGATGATAGCACTGAATAGTTTAAGAGAATGTTGTCCATTGAGGCTCTTACAGTAAATGATACATAACAGAGCTATCATAGGACTCTTTTATATTAAACTGTAAGCAGGATTTTAAAAAACGAGAGATTCTAAAAGAATGAAGTTTTATTGTAGCAAAGGAAAAACTCCATGAGTGTGGAGGAAGAATGAGAAAATAAGAGTAGAGATGAAAAATGTTGGTGAAAAAAAAGAAAAGTTAAGGACCAAAGAGAATACTATACTGCAATATAATTTTCTGTCTTTAAAATCAGTGATCTAATAACTTCTTAGATAAAGACTAGTTGGATTATCATACTACATAAATTACTGTAGTTTGAATTTTATTTAATAAAGGTGTGGCGTGAAGGACTTCAATGTTGCAGTGGAGATGGATAGTTGCTTTTGTGGAATATGCTTCCTGCTGTTCAGTTCTGCTTTCTGTTCGGGTTGCTATTTTGGTTGATGGTGTGCAAATGCCTCTGACAGGAAAGAGTCAGTTGATACTTTTGCTAATTCAAAAGAATCACCTTCTTTCTCAGTCATAATTTTAAAACTTGCATGTGTAATTGAACAGCTAACCCGTTAGGCATGCTTCCTGTCTGTTCAAAATTGTACACTTCTCCTTCTAAGAACAAGAGCTCTGCAAATTTTCGGTTTTGCATTTTTGTTACTGATGCTTTTTGCAACCATGAGTCTCATACATCAGTTAAATTAGATCTCAAATTACTGGCCTTAACATAATACAAAAAATTGCTTTCTAATATTGTTCTGACTAGTTCTCTCCAAAATGGTAGAAAAATATAACATTCCTCCATCTTTCTGTGTTGGATGCAAGATGTGTGTTTTTAAATAGCCCATTTTTACCTCTCCTGTGAGTCTTTTTCTGTGTACTCGAGTCAGAGCTGGTTTTTGCCAATGCTTAGGAAGCGAAGCTTCCTGACACCAATTACGTGCTCATTTGGCTTAGAGCACCATGTATATCTGCAGTGCTGCAAGATGCACAAGAATAGTACAAAATGCTCTCCCTTTAGCCACAGACAAAGGTCTCTCATCTGTATCAGTCCAAGCAGTTCAGGCCATCATGTGATGGGATGGGTGTGGATAATCTCAGCTGCTCTCATCTTTGGTTCTTGCTAAGACCAAAGAGCACATTGGTCCAGTGTTTGTGTACGATACTCCACAAGTCAGGCAGACCTTGTTCTGTGTGCTTGGGTGAGTTCAGAGATGTCATTCTTCATCTGACATGGCAGTTGAAAGGTACCACAAACCTCGCCTTCCATATAGTTTGTTGAGTTTGGTCTTCATGATAGTTGTATGTAAAAGGCTCCAGAACCATACAAGGGTCATTGCAGTGAGAGATTTGGCATTCTTTCTCAGTAGAACATGTTTATTAGATGATTGTAAGGTTAGATTGCATCTGGTTCTGTACCATAAATACTTGAGGTATCTTGTATAGGATTACAAGATGTTTTCTATTTAAAGTACATCGCATTCAGGAGTAACAGGATGAAAGCTTAAAGGAATGTCAAATCTTTTATTATCTAGTGTCCTGTCATTTTCTATATGAAGCAGGTGTCAGCCTCAATTCTGTATTGCAGTGACTTAAAACCCTTACAGGAATTAAGCAAGGGGATTGTAGATGTAGTACACTTCACACAGGGGGAAGCATTGGCATCCTACTCCCGTTTCCCTACAGTTCCTATACATGTACTGAAATAACTTTCCTAATTAAACCTTTTTTCTGCTAATGAGGAAACAGTTGAGCATGACAAAATAGCGTGGCAGATTCCTGCCATTAGTGCTATTATATTTATTTTAAAGACAAGGGAGGTATTCTATTCCAACAAGAGACTTGATCACTTTCTGTCTCACATTCTTTTGTTGTCCCAAAGACTGAAGAACAGAATGAGCAGTGTTAATGAAATCACAACTGCCTTGTAAAGGTACTGGGGGAAAACAAGAAAAAAAGAAAATGACCTTTTGAGGGAAAAAGCCATTTGCCATTTTGTTTGCAATTCTGTTTTGCAAATAACATTCCAGATGTAATAGAATAGGTATATTAATTGAAGCAGATTGAATTTATTGACATGTTGCCTCAGGAAAGCTAGGAACAATTTCTGGCAATCATAAGGAAGCTCAGTTTTGTTTACATCTTCCTGTAACCATTGTGCCTTGCCATCTATTGTGATTGCTATAGAAGTGAAACTTCTAAAATGTTTTCTGCATTCATATATTTCAAGAGAAGTGTCTACAGTAATGGCAGATTTGCTGATGAAGAGCAACAGTTTCCCGGGTGTGAAAGAATGATGACTTTTTTTTTTCCTACTCCAATTTTTCAATATTCTGAAAGCTTAGATGTCATTCCAGGACTTCTTAAAAGCAGAGGTGCCTTGGGTGAGGAAGAGTTTGGAGGCAAACAGTTCATTCCCAAGTGGCTTGTTCTTTTTTAATAAGCGAGTTTTATAAAGAGCTACAAAAGGATTAGCAGGTACTGTAAAGGAGATAGACTGTGCTCTGTTTTCTCTCACCATTTCTCTCTTTATTGAATGCCTGTTTTACAGTATCCTTTAAATATATTCTTCTTCCATGAGAATAGTTTCTCCTTCTTGTGCTTTTTTAGAGTTTTGGAATATTTCAATAGAAAATGATAAAAGCAAAGGATTAAATAATAAAGTGAATCATATATTCATAGAATAGGGTGGGTCAGAGGGGACCGCTGGAAATTGCTTCTCTCTGGTTGCTTAAACTACCTTCACATCTGTGCTCAAAATATACATTCTTTTTCTCTTCAAAGAAGAGGATTTCCACAGAGGAGAGAGATTTTTTTCTTGAGGGGAACACCCATTCTGTTTTGTTCTGGATGATGTTTTTGAAATGATATGGTGTGGCTATTGGTTTGAAGTATGGTGTAGCTGACTCTCCAGTTTTTTTCAGTATTTTTATATTTTTATATTTTTTTAAATTATGTATATTGACAACTTTTGGAATTCTCATAAAGACAGGGAAACAGGAAATCAACATGCTTCCAATTAATCTTTATCTATTTCTGCCTCAGTTCCACTGACTATTTGGATAACTGATTTTGAGTGGTGGGAAATCCTTCATAGGTGAAGCTTTCTACAATGTTTTCCAGATTGTGACACCTACCCTTTCAAGAAGGTGCCTGGTTTGGTATAGGGTTAAGGGATACTGAGAGAACACTGGGGAAGAAGAATTCTTTTTTTCTGAACTTGTTACAGACTTCTAAAGAAGAGGGCAAGAGGTAACTTTTATCTCTAGTCTCTTAGATCACGACAGAGACAGTGGAGTTTAGGCCCCTTTTTACCCTGTGCTCTAAAGAGTCTTTCCACTCTAGCACTTAGATTTGGGTCAATATAATTGGTCTCCAAATCTGGGAGATCTAGGTCTTGAGAGTCCTTAATAGCAATTGCATTGCAATTCTGGAATGGGAAAGTGTGCCATGCAAAGGGTAGAAAAGAAATGTCAGTTCAGTCTAGGTAGACCTGTAGTAACAATGGATTTAAATTTATTTTCTGTTTAGATATGCAGTGTGTATTCAAGATTCAAGTTAGGAAGATAATGAGGGTGTGGTTTTCAGACTCAAATATATTTAGGCTAATGTTGTAGATATTTTTTATGGTTAGAATTAGACTGTCAGTTGTCTGGTTGCCTAAAGATACTCTGCCCAAATAGATACTGTTAATATTTTCAGTATTAGACAGAATATGCAAAGACTATGAAGAATAAAAAGGATAAGGATTGAAGTTTTTCATCAACCTTGATTATAATTTTAAGTCATACTATTTAACATGTGCATGAGGTTCTCCATCAACAGCCTGAGTAAATAAGAAATGCTGTATTTTTTATCGCTGGAGCTGTTATAAGAAATGAGTGAGCTATTCCCATGATTGTGTTTACAGGATTGTTATTTACTCATCTTTAGGATGACTCAGAGAGTTGGTCTATTTGTCAATATATTTTTACAAATTATGTTGTCTTTCTACTAGTTATATTTTCTCA